TGATGAGTTACTCGCATCAACATGATTGGGTGAATAAGGCTTGTAGTAAAAACCGTTCTGACAGCTCAGAGTAGAAAAGAGCTATAAAAGCACTAGTCCATTTACTATTTTAGTTACTGCTGCTTTTTATGCAGCTCAAAGCTGTTTGAGCAACAAACATGCTGATGCCAGAGAATGAATAAGCCTGCAGCTCATTGGATATTTTCTGCAAAACCCTAAAGATGGTTGTATGGGAAGATCCCAATAGATTGTTGGTTGGAGACTTGTCTGAGTATTTCAGTAACTGCCAAAATCACAACAATCACAGCATTTTACTGTGTTTGGCAGAAACACTAGACCTAGAAGCTAGATCTACTTTGTAGACAGAAGAACTCAAATGTAATAGAAATGAACAGACATTATTATTACATTGGCCTCGCAGCCTTTTAAATAGCAAATAGCTAACAGGACTGAAAGACAAATAAAGGGTGTTAGGAAGGTTTTTGGAATTCCATGGTGGATGTTAATCTCTTGGAAGGTCAGATAGAATAGGCCTTTTGTTTTGCTGTAGTTTTTTTTTTTTAATGATTGCTCTAATTGCCCATTTTTTTAATTGGATGGACTTTTTGACATTTTTACTGTGAGGAATATTATTACATAAAATAAATCAACACAATTAGTTAAATACAACCATTATACAATTCTGAACATGGCTGTTATTACTATTTTTTAAGAGCTTGGTTACCTCCCAAAGTAACGTGCTCTCCAGTTACAGTGATTATGCACAAGCTTTTAGCAGGTGATTGGCAGTTATTGCCCGACATGGCTATTACACATCTTCAATTCAGTGTGAGGGGGTTTTTTTGCTGTAGGGGTCAAGCTAATGCAAACGTTCCAGCCTCATTTCCATCACTCATCACTGTCATTAAAAGAAAAGTGGACTGATAAGAGCTCTGCCTCTCCAGAGGCCGACTAATGACCACATTCTGTACATCAGTCAGGATGTTAACTGTCAGCATGACGCGGCCTCTCACTATAACAGTCAGGAATAAATCTCAGTGGAGAATGCCGCTTTAGCATTTCGCTATTACATAATCACAGACTCCAATTTCTTCTAAAGAAAAATTAATTGTTAGACACAGTTAACTAGACATGTGAAATGATAGAAGGCAAAAGTAGTAGATGGCGTGTTAAAATTTAAAGAGGAAATCTTTATCTCCTAATTGAATTTTAAAGTAGCATGTTATTAACTATTGTCTGTTTTAATTTGGTTTAAAAAAAGGAGGTCATAGTTTTTGTATTACTACATTTGATTAAATCCAGAAACCAGAGTCTAAAATGTCCCCAATCTAA